CAGCCAGGGCCGCCGCGGCCCCTCCGCCAGCCTCTTCAGCAAGTTCACCTCCAAGTTCGTCCGCAGGTGAGCAGGGGGGGGGGAGGGATTGTCACCCACCTCGGTGCTGTGTGGCCTCCTGGGCTGCCTCCCCTCTGTGTCCCCCCGGGGCTCTCCTGTGTCCCCTCTGTGTGTCCCCAGGGATCCTTTGTGTCACCTCATCCCCCCAGGGATCCTCTGTGTCCCCTCTGTGTGTCCCCAGGGCCTGTGTGTCCCCTCTGTGTCCCCCCGGGGCTCTCCTGTGTCCCCTCTGTGTGTCCCCAGGGATCCTTTGTGTCACCTCATCCCCCCAGGGATCCTCTGTGTCCCCTCTGTGTGTCCCCAGGGCCTGTGTGTCCCCTCTGTGTCCCCCCGGGGCTCTCCTGTGTCCCCTCTGTGTGTCCCCAGGGATCCTTTGTGTCACCTCATCCCCCCAGGGATCCTCTGTGTCCCCTCTGTGTGTCCCCAGGGCCTGTGTGTCCCCTCTGTGTCCCCCCGGGGCTCTCCTGTGTCCCCTCTGTGTGTCCCCAGGGATCCTTTGTGTCACCTCATCCCCCCAGGGATCCTCTGTGTCCCCTCTGTGTGTCCCCAGGGCCTGTGTGTCCCCTCTGTGTCCCCCCGGGGCTCTCCTGTGTCCCCTCTGTGTGTCCCCAGGGATCCCCTGTGTCTCCACTGCTCCTCTGTGCCCCCCCTGCGTGTCCCCTTGTCACCCCTGGGGCTCCTCCTTGTCCCCCCCGGGGCTCTCCTGTGTGTCCCCAGGGATCCTCTGTCACCTCTGTGTGTCCCCAGGGATCCCCTGTGTCCCCACTGCTCCCCCGTGTCCCCTCATCCTGGGGCTCCTCTGTGTCCTCTCTGTGTGTCCCCTTCCCCATGTGTCCCCTCTGTGTGTCCCCAGGGATCCCCTGTGTCCCCACTGCTCCTTTGTGTCACCTCTGTGTCCCCAGGGATCCTCCTGTGTCACCTCATCCCCCCAGGGATCCTCTGTGTCCCCTCTGTGTGTCCCCAGGGATCCCCCGTGTCCCCACTGCTCCTCTGTGTCCCCTCTGTGTGTCCCCTTGTCCCCCTGGGGCTCCTCCTTGTCCCCCCCGGGGCTCTCCTGTGTCCCCAGGGCTCCTCTGTGTCCCCTCTATGTGTCTCCTTCCCCACGTGTCCCCTCTGTGTCCCCTCGTCCCCCCCAAGGGGATCTTCCTCTGTCCCCTCTGTGTGTCCCTTTGTCACCCCCAGGGCTTTTCCCTGTCCCCTTTTAGGACCCCAGGACAGTTCCTTGTCCCTCTGTGTCCCCCCCCCCCAGGGGCTCTTCCATGTCCCTTCTTGTCCCCTGGGGGCTCTTCTGCATGTCCCCTCCCCGGGGTGCCAGTGGGACACCAGTGGGTCCCTGGGGTGCTGTGGGGTGCCGGCAGGTCCCTGGGGTGCCATTGTGTTGACAGGGGGGGTGCTGTGGGTGCCACCCCCCACCCTGACCCCTTGTTCCCCCCCCTCCTCTCCCTCTTTGTGTCCCCACAGCGGGGTGCCCAGCCAGGTGCCGGCGGCGTCCCCCTCTGCCCACAACGTCAGCCAGGGCCCCGGGGTGCCAGTGGGTCACCAGTGGGTGCTCAGGGTGTTGTGGGGTGTCAGTGGGTCCCCAGGGTGCCAGTGGGACACCAGTAGTTCCTTGGGTGCTGGGGGGTGCCAGTGGGTTCTTTGGGTGCTGGCATGTCCTCGGGGTGCCAGTGGGACACCAGTGGGTCCTTGGGGTGCTGTGGGGTGCCAGCAGGTCCCTGGGGTGTTGTGAGGTGCCAGCAGGTCCCCAGGGTGCTGGCATGTCCCTGGGGTGCCAGTGGGACACCAGCAGGTCCCCAAGGTGCCAGTGGGACACCAGTGGGTCCTTGGGGTGCTGTGGGGTGCCAGCAGGTCCCTGGGGTGTTGTGAGGTGCCAGCGGGTCCCCAGGGTGCTGGCATGTCCTCAGGGTGCCATTGGAACACCAGTGGGTCCTCAGGGTGCCAGTGGGACACCAGCAGGTCCCTGGGGTGCCGGCATGTCCCTGGGGTGCTGTGGGGTGCCAGCAGGTCCCTGGGGTGCTGTGGGGTGCCAGCAGGTCCCTGGGGTGCTGGCATTTCCTCGGGGTGCTAGTGAGACACGAGCGGGTCCTCGGGGTGCTGGAGGGTGCCAGCTGGTCCCCAGGGTGCTGGCATGTCCTTGGGGTGCTGGCATGTCCCCGAGGTGCCAGTGGGACACCAGTGGGTCCCTGGGGTGCTGTGGGGTGCCGGCAGGTCCCTGGGGTGCACTGTGTTGACGGGGGGGGTGCCGTGGGTGCCACCCCCCACCCTGACCCCTTGTTCCCCCCCCTCCTCTCCCTCTTTGTGTCCCCACAGCGGGGTGCCCAGCCGGGTGCCGGCGGCGTCCCCCTCTGCCCACAACGTCAGCCAGGGCCCCGGGGAGCGCCCCAGTTTCCCCCGGGGGGTCTCCAGCCGCAGCACCTTCCACGCGGGGCAGCTCCGGCAGGCCAGGGACCAGGCCCCCCTGCCCT